GCATTCTTTTACAGGTGCTCGAAGCTGATCTTCAACAGTTCTAACTATTTGCATTACTCTGTTCCTGCTTTTCAACATCCTCAAACTGAAGGCGCTTATGCATGCTTCAATTATGGCTTCGTTTGGGACAACTTTCTTACTGTTTTAAGAAGCAATAAAAAAGCCGTTTAAAACAATAAGAAATTCGTCCCAAATAAAGCCTACGATGAACTACATCCTATATTAATTATCACAATAAATATACAGCAACATAAACTTTTGAAGCGCATGAAGCAAATTACCAAACCCTCAAAACAACCAAATAACAGCCATTTATAATTAGATGCATTGGTTTTAATTATGCAAACAAAAAAGAAAGATTAGGATTTTAAAGCTTTTATGCTGCTGTCGTACAACATTAGAAATACTCATTAAAAACAAAATATTCAGATCCATGAGATTACATGAACGTAATGTGTCTCTACAATTTGTTTCACACTAAAATTGTAATTTAGAGAAATAGAAATTTATGTAATTACATACTTATTTAATTTTTTTAATTAATTCTTAAATATTTATCAGAGTTATATTATTATTATTATTAGACCAAGTATATTTATTATGAAGTAATAGTAGTGTTGCGTCCTGAGTATTCGCGGCGGTAGAGAAATATAAAGTTTAACGTCTTAGCGTTGTACGGAAATCTGGCATGCAATCAGATAAAAAGAGAGGGTGCGTCATTCAATAGAGACACCAAGTTTTTTACATGGAAAACCCCTGAAAAAGGGGGAAAAAACCACGGGATCTGGCCCAATATAAATGAATCCACTAGTATTGTAGTTGATTACAAATGAGATCCTTCCTCAAGGGAAGGCCTTAGCTTGATGTACATATTATAGAGTACATTACGTATGAGAATACAAAGCATCAATGTTGATGTGTTAGTTTGGTCTGAAGGACTATAGTCAGTGTGCGACGTAAGTCTACCGTAGTCAGTGGACGACGGAGGCCGGAAGGACTGTAGTCGGCAGGCAACGTAAGTCAGAAGGACCGTAGTTGGCGGGCGACGTAAGTCGGAAGGACCATAGTCGGCGGGCGATGGAGGTCAGAAAGACGACGTCTAGTAGAAGTCCATTAACGGGCAGAAATCCAATATCAGATAGATGTCTGGTGAAAGTCCGACAATTGGCAGAAGTCCAGTGTCATGTAGAAATTTGGCAAAGAGCGGAGGTCCGACGTCAGGTAGAAGTTGGACATCAGTTGGTGGCCGAGGAGAACTCCGATGTTACTTAGAGTTCTGGTGAAACTCCGACATTACTTGGAAGTCGGACGGAATTCCCACGTCACTTTGAGGTCGGGCATAATTTCGGCGTCGAGCAGAACTCCGGCATTGTTCGTAAGTCCGACAGAATTTCGACGTCGGGCAGAACTCTGGCGGTGGTCGAGGAGAAGTTATTCCCTCTTATCCTTCTCTTCTCCTTCTCTTCTTCTTGCTTCTTCTTGCTTCTTACTTGGGCCCTCCCTTAAGAGAAATGAGGGGTCTATTTATAGATTTTCTAGAGTGATATGACCCATAAATATATGAGAGATCAGGGGCAAATATGGAGTGGTTCAGATGAACAGCCAATATTGAATCCTTCGATCGTAGATCGTTTATCAGGCATTTAAAGGTCTTAATGATGTCGGAATTCGGTGATCTTGGGCTCGTTGGATTCGTCTCGTCGAACCACTCGATTCGACTATAAGAACATCATATTTTAAAACGGTTTGGTAACTCAAATTTTGGTTTGAACTTTCCAACATCACTTCGAGTACTTGATTTGGACTAATTTGGGCTCGGATTGAGTTGAATTTGGTGTCGTTGGGTTCGTATTTCCGAGACGATCAGTTCGACTATAAGTTTGCTAAAATCGGAGTTCATATGATCCCAAATTTAATTTTTGAAGTGTCCAACTTGATTTTTGCCTCGAGATTCGTGCTCGATCAAGATAACGTTTCGAGGATATATCAGTACTTCATCTGCTATAAAGAAGTGGTCAATGAGTATGGCTTTCAGATTCTCCAATCAATTGCAAGAATGTGCTTGACAATAGCTTGAACTCACCGATTATATTAAGCATATTCCTGAAGCTAGACCACTAATACTTGTGTGGACTCCAACCTTTCGCAATTTCCCACCAACAATCAACCACAACTCCATCAATATGCAGCCCTTTTAACTGCTCCAATTCATGATGGACTGCTTCAGGGTCCACGCATTCTAAAGCAATAAGCTTAACCTTCAGGTTGTGCAACAATATCTTTCTTCTTCATTTTTTGATCCGAGATGAAATGATTTCCTACATAACTAGGGCCTTCTATTTCCATAATATCTTCTTCAAAATTCTGAGATATGCTATGCTATTCCACCTGAAGAAGAAATTCCTTTTCCTGCTCTCTTCATCGCCAAGGCACTGAAAAGCTTTAGAAACAGCCTCAAACGCTTCCTTTGCACCAGGCCCTTTATTCTTATCCGGGTGAACCTAAAAACAGAGCTGGATAAAATGATTTTATTATATGTTTAATCTGAGTACATAGATTGCTATATATAGACTCACAAGAGTCTATACCGAAAGTAAATACAAGACTTCTAGAAAGACCGTTTAGAACAGATACAGGTAATGTAAATCGGTACAGGTGACCCAATACAGTACATGTTTATTACACCCCCTCAAACTGATGGACATCACTGTATGGTCAGCTTGTCCTGAAGGTACTGAAAGCGAGGAGTAGAGAGCGACTTGGTAAAGATGTCAACGGTCTAATCTTTGGTGGAGATAGGGAAGATCTGAATCGTTTGGGATGATATGTGGTCCCTAATAAAGTGATGATCTATTTCAATATGCTTAGTACGCGCGTGAAAGACCAGATTATTTGCGAGGGCAATGGTGGAGGTGCTATCACAGTGCATACTTGTTGGAGCTGTTGAATTGATGTTGAAGTCAAGCAGTAGGCGGCGGAGCCAAAGGATATCCACGAGAGACGTGGCCAGCGATCGATATTCTGCTTCAGTTGAGGAGCGAGCAACAGTGTGTTGTTTCTTGACGCTCCAAGAAATGAGTGTGTTACCCAAGAAGGTGCAATAGCCAGATGTGGATCGTCTGGTGTCTTTGTCTCTAGCCCAATCTGCGATAGAGTAAGACCGTAGTACCATAGGACCCTGCAAGATAGGTAGACCAAGTGAGATAGTGCCTTTTATATAACGAAGTAATCTGTAGAGGAGTTGAAAATGAGAAGCATCCGGATTATGCATATGTTGGCATAAGAGATTGACGGCAAAGGCTATGTCCGGTCTAGTTATAGTTAGATACTGTAGAGACCCGGTAATCTGACGGTAGAGCTTAGGATCATGTGGTAAGGGTGTTGTGCTGCTGGAGTCCGGAGTTTTAGTACATGCGGGATTGGCAAGAGCTTTGCAGTTTGTTGCGCCAACCATATCCAGAATAGAAGCCGCATATGTTGTTTGGGATAATAAGTAAGATTTGTTCGCTTCCGTGATGTTGATACCCATGAAGCTATTGACCAACCTGAGATTTTTCATCTCAAAATGTTGGTGCAACTGAGAGATTACCGTGTTTATCATAGATGGATCATTGTATGTTAAGAGTATATCATCTACATATATCACAAGGTAGAGATGACTATTAGTTTTGTTAAGAATAAATAAAGATGAATCAGCTTTGCCCAGAGAGAAATTGAGAGTGTTTAGGAAGTTTGAGAAGGTTTGAAACCATTGGTGAGGGGCCTATTTTAGTCCGTAAACGATTTTCTTGAGTTTGCAGACGTAGTCAGGATGACGATTGTCTTTGAAACCTTTAGGCTGTTTCATGTAGATTGTTTCATTTATATGGCCATGGAGGAAGGCGTTCGTCACGTCTAGCTGATGCATAGGCCAAGCGTTAGAAATTGCAATAGTTAACAAGATTCGTATAGTTTGAAATTTAGCAACAAAACTAAAGGTTTCTAGATAGTTTAAGCCATATTGTTGATGGTTTCCTTGAGCAACAAGACGAGCCTTGAATCGAGCAATGGTTCCATCCATTTTTTGTTTGAGTCTGAATGTCCAGCGGCTGCCAAGAACATGAGTATTTGGAGGAGCGCAAACAACTCCCAAGTGCCTTGTTTCTGCAAGGCATAGAATTCCTCTGCCATTGCACGTCTCCACTGCACGTGTTGCATAGCTTCTTTATATGAGGTAGGTTCTTGAGGATAGGATGACTAAGAGGACTGAGACGAGTCTTGACTGTGGAGCAGATTGAGTTTCTGTATAGGTTTAAGGGATCCGATTTTGGCTTTGGTGGTCATGGGATGGGTAGACTTAACAGGAACCATTTGAGTGATGGGATGAGGCAAGGTTACAGAGGAAGAAGCGGTAGGTAAAGCAGGGTGAGAAGTAACGGGTTGAGGAGAGGAGTTGGTAGGAAGAGTAGCAGGAGCAGATGGCTGAGGTGTGTGAACCGAACGTCCAGAAGCTTGATGAGGAGGACTTTGCAGGTTTTTGTGAGAAACTGGAACGAGAATAGAAGGATGAATAACAGAATTTGACTGAGGTAGAGGGAGCAAATTCTGTTTGAACGGGAATGTGAGTTCGTCAAAAACAACGTGTCTCAATGTGTAAATCTTGTTTGTTGTAATGTTTAAACATTTGTATCCCTTGGATAGCTGAGAATAGCCAAGAAAGACATAATTATGAGAACGTGGTTAATTTATTTCGTTGAGGTGGCAAAACCCACGGAAAACAGGCGCACCCAAAGACTTTGAACATCTTGTAGTCCGGGATTTTATGAAACAGAAAATAAGAGGAGATTGGAATCTAATAGAAGCAGTCGGTAACCGATTAATAATGTAAGAGATCAGGCCAAAATGAGTGAGGTATGGAGGCACCGTTAAGCATAGTTTTGGTGATTTCAAGAAGGTGTCTGTGCTTTCTTTCGGCCAGACCATTTTGTTCGAGCGTGTAAGGACATGAAGTCTGGTGAGCAATGCCGTGATGGGTTAGAAATTGTTTGAAGTTGTAATTTAAGTACTCCATACCTCAATCGGAATGAAGACATCTAATCTAAATTTGGGTTTGTTTTTCAACAAACCGTTTAAAATTACAGAAGATCTCAAACACTTCAGACTTATGTTTCATCGAAAAAACCCACAAAAATCTAGAAAAGTCATCAATAAACACTACATAATAAAGAAAACCTTGATGTGAAATGACTAGAGAAGGACCCCAGACATCGGTGTGAATAATAGCTAACGACATAGTTGCACTATGATTATTAGTAGAAAAAGCTAATTTGTGACCTTTTGAGGTCGTACAGTCAGAACAAAAAGAAAAAGTAGAAGGTATGTGAAGACTTTTATTGTTTGCAGAAACAGGTCGATCAATTTTTGGATGTGGATGTCCCAATCTTCGGTACCAGATAGTGGCTTTATGAGACATAGCCGAGAGCGCCTTGGTGGACGAAGAGTTACTGATGGCCGAACGAACAGGGTAGAGACCCCTGTTACTTGGACCCGATAAAAGAGTTTTGTTTGTCTTCATATCCTTAATAGCAAAATCATACGGATTAAAATTCACAGAAACATCATTATCCTTAGTAAGGTGAGAAACAGACAATAAGTTGTGGGATAGATGAGGAACGTGGAGAAGGGAGTTAAGTTTGAGCTTACAATACGTTGTTGGCATAATACCATTGCCGGAGTGGGCAATGGGTAAAGATCTGCCATCACCGACTGTAATGTTGTCTTGGCCGCTGTAGGAAGTAGCTTGCGAGAGATTGTCGACGGAGCTAATAAGATGGGCGGAGGCTCCGGAATCTAAATACCAGTCATGATTATCTGATTATGTGGTCACTACCATGGCTTTGGACTAGTGATTCGAGGCAAATGTGTCGGGAGGGTTGATGGAGACATTGAGGCGATGCCAACAATTGTGTGATAGATGCCCTCTTTTATTTCAGATTTGGCACTGCAGATGGTTGAGACGTGGATCTTGCTCTTCCGCGCCATCCACGACCTTTGTATAAGATAATGATGTGGATGGATCGCCAAGATTGAGTTGGCGAAGTGATTCCGACTGAAGGTTTATTTCTTCGGTGATCAGTAATGAGTAAAGATTATCAAGATCCATGGTGGTATGCATTGCGCGGATAGCAGTCTTGAGCGCATTGTAGGACGGTGGTAAGCCATTCAAGGTATACAGAAGGATGTCTTCTTGATCCAGAGTTGAGCCGGCAGAAACTATGTTGTCAACAATGGTTTTGATTTGCTGCAGATATTGAGTCATAGTTTGGGATTTCATCTGTACATTATGCAACTCATTTTTGAGCTGAATAACGCGCGATCTGTTGGAAGATTGGAGGCGGTGTTCAAGAGTGATCCAGATGGCAGAGGTAGAGACGAGATGAATGACATATGGTAGAATAGCCGGAGATACAGTGGAGCAAAGAGCGGCAACCAAGTTTTGGTCTATATGAACCCATTCGTGATACTTGGGATATGGTTCTTTACTGCCATTTGCAAGGAGTTTGTGACTGTCAGGCGGTGATGCCATCGGGAGGAGAAAAGAACTGAAACCATTTGTGTTCAGGAGTTTTAAGATCTGAGAACGCCAAATCGGGTAGTTGTCGGAGGAGAGTTGTACCAGAACGATGACTTTGATGTTGGAGATGACAAACTTGAGAGACGCGGGAATGGCGTGATGTTCTTCTGAGAGGGATTCTTGAACATCTTCCGAAGTCGACGAAGCCTCCATGAGCGGAGATCAAGAAAGAAGAAAGAACCGAAGTTCAAAAGGAAAGAAAAAGAACTCAGGACAGAGTACACTGCTCTGATACCATAAAAACAGAGCTGGATAAAATGATTTTATTATATGTCTAATATGAGTACAGAGATTGCTATATATAGACTCACAAGAGTCTATATCGAAAGTAAATACAAGACTTCTAGAAGACCGTTTAGAACAAATACAGGTGATGTAAATCGGTATAGGTGACCCAATACAATGAATTTTTATTGCATCAGGTTACCTGACGTAGAGATACATCAGGTAGCCTGTAATATATCTCCACGTGTTCTTACTTTTACCGCGCGGCCCGACGACCCAACCCGAAACGAACATACGTGGTATTTGCTCGGTATTGCTAGGTACTACTCGGTATTTGCTCGGTACTACTCGGTATTTGCTCGGTATTGCTCGGTACTTGCTCGATTTTTGCTCGGTATTGGTTGTGTCTCTCTTGGTATTGGCCGATCCCTCTCCTTCCTCCTCTTCTTCTGATTCGAAGCCTCCTAAATCACTATCCTTTTCAATCCCCTCACCCGATCCTTCCGTATTTTACCCCCTCTCGGATCCGCATGGTCGCGCCACGACACCGTTCTCGCCAACCCGGCGCCAGCGCCATTCTCGTCCTCACTGAGCTCACCGCATCATCGCGCCACGGCCTCCGATCAAACTTCGTAGTTTCCGATCCGGTGGAAAGGGAAAGTCGTCGATGGAGAAAAGTTGAACGGCAACGAGTGGAGCCGAAGAAGCACGCGAAATGGAGAAGGTTATCTCCACAGCGAGCGGGATCCCGTTTGCTTCCAATTAAAATGTTGTAACTTCCGATCTCAAGCAAATACCGAGCAATACCGAGTAAATACCGAGCAATACCGAGCAAGTATCGAGCAAATATACCGAGCAATACCGAGCAAATACCGCGCATGTTCGTTTCGGGTTGGGTCGTCGGGCCGCGCGGTAAAAGTAAGAACACGTGGCGGTATATTACAGGCTACCTGATGTATCTCTACATCAGGTAACCTGATGCAATAAAAATTCCAATACAATACATGTTTATTAGAACCTTTAAGGAAAGCTTCTGATGTGCCTTGCCCACATCTTCCACAGTGTAGCTCCACTCTAGCCTTTAAAGCCGCAGATGAGTTCGGAACAAGGATTTTGGGAATTGGCGTAAGAGAATAGAAGGTAAGACCATCTCCAACGGAAAATCACATTTTTCACTCCGAAATGCCGTGAAACTTAAAAATGCCGCGATTCATCTCTAATGGAACATTTTGCAAAGGTAATAATTTTTTATTTTCTTTTGGGCGTTTCTTGGCAAGTTCGGTAGACGGAGAAAAAATAACAATGATGAATAGTTCAATGTCAATATTGATGTCCCACTGTTCACCCGCATAAAAATAGTGGAAGTTTTAACGTTCTGCTAGAGCTTTGCGGCGACGGCATTCAAGCATTTGGAGTTCTCTTGGAGATGCCAATGGGTTGATACTCACGCGGGAGGTGGTTAGGTAGCTGGAAGTTGTGCCGGTTTTCTACAGGTATTGTGAAGTTAAGTGTAAGGAACTCGGCAGGTTGTAGGTTTGGAGTTAGGGTTAAGAACAGCTAGTTGAGAGGAAGAAGAGGTAAGGGGATGCAAGGAGGAGACATGTTAGAGGGGGAGGAAGCAGCTAACTTGATAATCAAATGGAAGGAAAATGGAGCCTGAATAATAGGGAAAATTATTATATCCGGACAAA